AAGTCCATTATTGCTCCAGTCATGAGGCAAGGTTGGGTATCAAGATTATCTGTACTTAGAGAGTTAGTCAAAGCATCTAATTTTTATAAAATGCAGAAAGAAAATATAGAAGAGCCACTTATTTTTATAGCTGTACAATTCCCCCCACTCCAAAAATCATGAGTTTTTGTTGTTTTGTTGTGTGTGTGTGTATGTGTGTGTGTGTGTGTGTGTGTGTGTGTGTGTGTGTGTGTGTGTAAAGAAAAGCAATTCCAATTGTCTCAAGATGGAGAATCCATTGTGTACCTGTGATGTCACTGACACAGATAAGAATTGTTCCAAAAAAGCTATACCTGCATGTATTCTGGGTAATGGAAGTAGAAACATGGAGTAGACACAGGAAGGCCAGAAAGATAGATTTCAGCACTTAACATGTATTTTCTATACCACAGTACAGGACTGACTGGATATTAAGAAAGCAACAACAAAAAATGCTCCCTCCCCCCAAAACCCACTAATTTAAAACCAAAGGTCTAAATAGAAATATATTCCATACCCAACAGGGAGCCTACATCTTCTTAAAATTTTAATTCTGAAGAATTGACAGAATAGGTTCAGCAAATAGTAGTGAAATCTAGCAACTACTTTTTACAGCCATGAAATTTAATATTTTATAAGTAAAGGAAAAGACAGAATATTGATGAGCTATTGCAACAAACAAAGAACATCTTTGGGAAAATGATATTATCAATCTTCAAGATTGACTATAATGAATAGTAAGTAATTCCATATGAAGATAATGTGAAGCCAGAATGAGTTGGTGAATAAGACAAGTTAGCTGAGGGATAGTTTGAAATTTGTTTAAAACACTATACCATATGGCTCAGCATTTGTGCTCCTGGGAATTTATACAAATAAATTAAATACAAATCCTAATCTACAGAAAGCTTCACATATGAATATTTTTAGTAATTCTGTTGTTGATACAATGAATTTGACTCAACAATAAAAATTACGCTGTCCAGAAACAGAAAGCCATCAAGTAACTTGAATTTGTATTACTAGCCCAGATCATTGCATGTATGATTCCAACCGCATTATATTCTAGAGAAGACCAAGATACAGAATTATTTACCAAGGGATATTTCTATAGGTCGATGGCAGAGTTCTTTTCTGTGGACTTGTATTTTCTTTGCTTTTAACTTAAGCCAGTCTATCTCCTTCTTAAATAATCCATACATTTCTCCATTATCTAATCTTATGGTAAACTATACAAAAGATTCACACCAACTTTGGATCCCCTCTTTCTGCTTCGTGTTTGTGGTTCAATATATAAGTCCCCGGAATCCTTCCCTGCAACTATCCCTTCTCCCTGCCATCATAGAATCTATGAGCTATACAACTCTATAAACTCCTGGTTCTTGAAGTTCCCTTGGCTGTGGTGTTTTATCACATCAGTGGAAGAGTAAGTAACAGGGTTGATTAGGTGTATGTGGAAGCCAGAAGATGTCAAGTATCTTCCCTTGTTGGCTCTGAGCCTTATTTAATGAACCTTATTATTATTATCAGTATCTTTCACTGAACCTGAATTTTAATCATGTTGCCTAGGCTTGCTGGCCAGAGATCACTAATGTACCTCCCTACACACGCAGGCATATTGGGGTTACAGGCCACTTGGCCACTGCTGACTTTTACATGGATGATTTGAACTCTGGTTCTCTTGCTTTCACAGAAAGTAAACTTACCCACTGAACCATCTCCTCAGCTCGTTTATCTTCTGTTATTATTATACTGGAGTCAACCCAACTGTTAAAAACCCAATCATTGGGGGCTGGAGAGATATCTCTTTGTTTAAGAGCAGTTGTTTTTTACAGAGATTGGCTTCAATTCTCAGTAGTCACATGACAGCTCACAACCACCTCTAAGTCCAGTTCAAGACAATCTATAGCAGTCGTCTCACCTCTGTGTGCACCAGACACACACATGTTGTAGAGACATACATTAATGGAAACACACATAAAGTAAATATGAACAAAATATTTTTAAATAAATAAAAAGCCCACTATCATTTTTATACAAACTTGCAAAGCACAGATGACAGTGTTAAGAAACAAACTACAGGGAATATTTGTTATTACTAGCAAGTACTTCCATATAATGACATATATTTTATATGTTTGTAAATGAATGGTGCCCTTGGAGTCTATGTGAATAGACTTTACTATTTATTTATAAATATAGTTATAAATAATATAATGGTATTATCAAGTTTACATTAATATAAATACCATTATTTAGATTTATACATTCACCACACTCTTCCAGTTTATGCTCTCTTCTCCCCTATTTATTTTTAGATCAGGCATTGAGATGATTACTATCATTTACTTTTGTTTAAGCACTTTTGAACTAATAGAGCAATGTTAATGGCTTTTCTTTTCCTTGAGTCAAGATTGACAAAACATTGTTTTTTGTTTTTTGGTTTTTTTTCACGGATACTTGATAACATTAGATGTGAGAAGAAATGAAGCTTTACTGCATCCAGAGTGTCTGTAGCACCAAATTGGACTAGAGCACACACTGATTTACAAAGCAGCAAGGTTTATCAGAAGATGTTGAAAACAGACTTCAAAGAGAAACCTTGGATTTTTTTTTATTTGGTGCTTCTTAGTGAGTTGTAATATTATCCTAAGTTATTAATTATAAAAAAACAGGAATGTAGAAAGAAATAAAATAGTATCAGATAAAGTTTAGCCAGGTTTCCTAGGCTGTAGTCACACACAGGTTAGAGAAGTTCAAACTCATTCTAGCTACATAGATGAGAACCAGAGCGCTATGTTTATACCACAAAAAAGAGCTGAAACTTTTATTTATTTACTTATTCATCAAGAATTTCATATATGAATATCATATTTTTCCCTCTCCATCTCCTCTCTTTAACTCCTCCCACTTCTCAAATTCATAGCCTCATATGATTTTTATTGTTACATATGTACATACACATATCAATGTGTATGTACATATGTACATTAGATACAAATTCATTAGTTTGATAAATGTTGCTTATATGTATATGCAATCAGGGCTTCTTACCTGGGATTGGAGAATCTGTCAGTGGCCTCATCCCTGGAGAAAACCGGTTCTCCTTCTTCCATCAAGCATTAACTGTCTATAGTTTTTCATCTAGAGGTGAGGGGAAACACAAGAGTTTCCCCCATCAATACTGGCATGCCCACTGGAAGTACCATTTGTCAGGTCTTGTAGGACGAATTTCTAAATGGTCTTATTAATAAAAAAAATCCAGGGCCATATATTGGGGTAATAACTGAGAGATTAGAAAAGCAGAAAGAAGCCAGCCAGGTTCTTACCACTTGAAATTCATCAGCCAAAGACCTACTTCCTGTATACCCACACCTATATGCCTTTCTGTTCTGCATCTCACTTCCTCTCTCTGCCTAGCTACATCACTTCCTGTCTGCCTATACAGACCTCCAGACCTCTATGGTTAGTACTGGGATTAAAGGTATGTTTTACCATGCCTGGCTCTGTTCCCCAGTGTGGCCTTGAACTCACATAGATCCAGATGTATCTCTCTCTATCTTCTGAATGCTAGAATTAAAGGTGTGTGCTACCATTCATTGCCTGAATTCTATGTTCAATATAGTGACTGGCTTTTCCCTCTGATCCCCAGATAAGCTTCATTAAGGTGCATAAAAATATTCCTTGGGAAAAATATATCACCACAAGCTCTTGTTTCAATAAGCATATTTTGAGATTTAATAGGTGTAGCCTCCACATAACATAAAGAAGGCATAACCACAAATCCAACATCCTGACCCTATGCTCCTACAATTTTGTTGCCACATTCTCTGTGATGCTTGTTTCCTGAGCCTTAGGTGGATGGGGTTGCATCATAGATGTCTAATTGGTGCTGAGTATCTCACCATCATTTGGTCTCTGCATTTTAACCAATTGTGGTTTTCTGTAATGGTTCCTGAGACAAAAAAAGTAGCTTCTTTAATGAGGTATAAACAATATTAAACTAGAGATATTTGAAAAAGCCCTAGAGAATCATATTACTTTATATGTTCTTACAATTACATGTATTTGGGTGTATGTGTATACATATGTGTGCATACACATCTATAGTTTAAAGGGATTCACACCACTTGGATTAACAGTGCTTTTCCCCGAAGCCATAAACTGTCTGGCAAAAACCTAGTGGGCATGGGGAACTTTCTTCTGAATTGCTTGCTGGGGATTCCAAGTCGCACTCCAAAACAATATAGGCTTTTGCTATTGCCTTTGGTTGCCTCCCAGGGAGGGAACATAAATCTCTACTGGAGAAAACTCCACACACATTTGGCACAGGACTTGGAGGAATTAAGCTAGAACTTACATGGAAGACTTCTGTCTGAGGACTATCTCTCATCATATCTGAAGTTGCTATGGATTTTGCCAAGGGATAGAAGCAACCTGTAGTCTTGCCCAGCTGTAACATTTTCAAATCACAACCATTACCAGACTGGCAAGATATTCTAAGTGACACATAAAATCTGGGCATAATCAGCAGAAGCCTAATTAGATGTAAGGCTTGATCAGTGCGTGACACTGCAAACCTGATCCACTTCCCTCAGATAGTGAGTCCAGACCCTAGAGGAGAATAGACTACTGCCACTTTCCTAAACCAGTATTATCTGGAGCTGCATTCTAAACAATTATCCTTTTTCCTGCAGGTAGGTAAGTGCAGCTCTCAACTCTCATCAAAGAAGCCTCCCTGTTTATAAAGTCTTACTTCTAATGTAAGTCTTACATTTCTAATTTAGTCTTATATTTCTAATGTTACACACACACACACACACACACACACACACACACACACACACATATATATATGCGCCTAATACTGAATTATATATAATCAATATATAATATATAATTACATATTATATATATATATATTCATCTATAAGGTATATCATTGTTGACAGCTCTGTCATAGACATAAAATTCATTACTTTGTAGTGGACAGACTCATGAAATTAAAGGTTTTCTCCTTTCAAATGGCCATGTTGACACCTTGTACAGACTGCTCTACAAAGACATTTCTTTAGTTTCTGTAGACTCATGCTAATATTCTGTATAATATTCAGTGGCAAGAAAGAAAGGATGACTAAGCCTAGCTTCTAGATCTGATAACAGTCCCATTAAAATTTATTTATGTTGAAATTATTGAGGGCATTCCTTTGCTAAGAGGAAAGAGCAGATTTCAAATGGTAAGTGGCTTTGGAAACAGGTCAATCTCTTATGAAAAGAAGGTTTTAAGGTGAGCCATTAACTCAGCTACCTCTGCATCTCATTACTGAAAAGTAGTTCAACTTCTTATGGATTGGGAATATTCCAAGGGTCAAATGGATTTAAAGAAAGTATATTTTTCAAGACACACGTTAGCTCACAGTCATTTCAGGAGCTGCCTGGAAAAGTGGTCACCCAAGGCTCTCATTGGTTGTATTCCCATAAAAGAGAGAGCAAATTTTCTTAAGCATAAAAGTCAAGAACAGTAGGACACTTTTGAGGGGCTGTTAATTTATCATACAAAAATATATCTTTTGGCTGGGCATGGTGGCAGAGACCTTTGATCCTTGTACTCTGGAAGAGTCAAAAAGAAGAGAATCTCTCAGTTCAGATGCAATGTGGTCTACATGGGAAGTTCTAAGCCAGATCCTCATTAAAAAGTAAGGAAAAGAAGTGAAAAGAAAGGAAAAGACAAGACAAGACAGGAAAAGAGAAAGAAAAGAAGGAAAAATGTTGCTTGCTTCTGGGAAATTCAGAAACATGGAAACTTGCCTTTACATGCAACCTAATTGGATTAAGGAGCAAGCACATTCAAAGATAGCTCAGAGACAATGGTATGCAAAATTCAAGCAATATTTTAGTTCAGTTCCTCATGAACACAAGAGGTAACTTTTACAATTATTATTCTAAAAATGTATATGAAGATTAATATCCTCAGAGAAGAAAGCAAGTGATTAAAAGCCTGCAATAAATTGATGTCCAACTGGGATTTGGAATGCCCACAAAGATGGGAGAAATTTTCCATTATAATGGATACAGTTTTGGCTGCAAAATAGAAACTTAGAGGTTTCATTGTTACTGATTTTTTAACAGTCTATAATCAGTTCATTTTTGGCTGTGATCCAGGGGTTATTTTGATGATTTTAAATTACTAGGCAATTTGTGATTCAGAAAAATTAATTTTCTGTGTAACTTTTTGTAGGCAGAAAATATGGGCTACATAATTTATTTCTTTACAAATTATTTACGGTTTTGATAACTATTTAAAATAAGTATTTGTATGTTGCAGGTACTAGGAAAAGGGTATATAATTTTCCTACATGGAACAAATATATAAATATGTAAATAGGCTGTGTGACTGATAAACTGGGGGTGTTTTTTTCTTTTTCAGTCCATTTCTTTTAATCCTGTGTTCAGATTTTGGGTAAGAGCAAGAGATTACATCATTACTCTGTTGTTGTTGTGGTGGTGGTGGTGGTGGTGGTGGTGGTGGTGGCTGTGTTTGGTATTTGTTTTGTGTTTGTGTGTGTTCACACATGTGTCTGTGCATGTGTGTGAAAGTGTAACACCAAATCAGAGGTGAAAGATACAGGGTCCAATGTTTCCATGTTCATGCACATAGTATGAGTATGCCACGTGCAAAGAGATGGGATGGGCACCAGAGAGAAATGGCAAATGGAAGAAGCAAAGGGATGTCCAGAGATGAATATGTCAAAGGGACAGTAAAAATGTCATGACTAAGAGCCATGAGTATATCTCAGTCAAGGGATCCTCCCATGGAAAATTCCTCTGCTTTTTTTGCCTGCTGACTCTGAAATGAGTTCACAGCAGCAGCTTTAGTGCTGGTAGAGCTTTACACTGTGTGATTTGTTGTTGCGTTGACCCTACTACTTTCTCCTCTCCTGTTAGTCAAAATTGGCATCATTAATTTTTGGAAGAAATACCCTATATGCAATTCTTTAAACAACTTTAGTAGGTTCAAAAAATAAATGGTTGTTGGTGGCCTAAGAGTCTAATGGTCAGTGGAATTTGCCTATCACATTCACTCAGATATATAAGATTGGAAGTCTCATCTCTATATAACTTTCTGTTTCAGGCCAAAAATTGGGGAGGAGGTATCAGTATATCGAAATCTGAAGGGGTCTGGAGCTTCAAATTTCCTATGTTCTAAAACAACAAGGGGAAATCAGAAGTAGGTGACCAGATGAACAGACACTATTTCTGCCCCAGCAGAGCTCACTAGCATTGAGCTCAGATTTACATCTCTCATTATGTACTTGGGATTCTGCATTCTTAGAACCCAAGTAAGCTGAAATGACAGTCATGTTCTCTCTCCTTCTCCCTCTCTCCCTCTCCCTCTCCCTCTCCCTCTCTCTCTCCCTCTCCCTCTCCCTCCCTCCCTCCCCCCTCTCTCTCCCCTTCCTGTGTCTACTCTGTGGACAGTTACCAAAGTATTAAAGTCTCCACAGTCAAAATAATCTTAAATTAGCAAATAGAATGCATCTACATTCCTTTTCTTGGAATAAATGAAGTAAAAAAATGTATTGCCTTCACATCAAACTACTTTAGTCTATTCAAGATGCTATAAAAAATAACATATAAGGGGTATTAACAAATTATTTTATTTTTTTTCACAATTCTAGAAATTCAAAGAAAGAAAACCAAGAATAAAGGATAGACTGATGTAGTGACTGTCAAGGGCATCCTTGCATAACATTTTCATGGGTGGGAAAAAGAATGAGATGTGGGTTCTTACAATGCAGGAGGAGCAATCACATAAGGGCAGACCCATTATAGCCCAGGCATACCCTGGAAGTGTGCTCTTCGTGCTTCTGCATTAGGGGTTAAGTTTGAGTAAGTCACTTGTTTCCTGGATTTGTCCCAGTTTTCCTTAGATTTTTTACTGCTATTTCAAAAGAAGTCACATTTAGGGACCATTGGTTTGAAATGGAAAGCAAATTACCAAAATTGAAAAAAAAAAAAAAAAGCTGAAGCATATTAACCATTGCCTGGCAGCATAGGAGGCTTTTACTTTTACTACGGGCACATTTTACTTTGAAGTGAATACATTTTTCAAAACACAGTTCAAGTATGTCTAGGTCTATTAG